ACTGCCCAAGTTTATGGGACTTATATCTGCACAGTGCTTTTCATTTTATAAAAAGCTCTCATGATCTCTTTTATCCTCATAGGATCCCTGTGAGTTATTACTTTTCTCTGTTTTGTTTTGTTTTTAAAGATGACCGGTAAGGGGATCTTAAACCCTTGACTTGGTGTTGTCAGCACCACACTCTCCAAGTGAGCCATGCATGGGCTGGCCTATAGTTTTCTGTTTTACAAGGGAAGAAACTGAGGATTAGAAAGAATTAAGTGATTTTTCCCAAATTGCTCAGCCAGGAAATGGTAGAGCTCTATACCCTTGCTCTTTTCAGTACATGCTTTCAAATACAATCACATGGTCTTCACAGTGTGACACTCTAGCTATGGTATGACAAACCAAAGTATACCAGGACTGTCATCTCCCTGGTTTTGGGGGCTCTTTAATTCTCTCAATATAGCCTAAAAATGACATTAGCTTTGGGTCATTTTTATCAGGTCATGTTTTTACTAAACAGTATCCAGTACATGGGCTGAATTATTTTTCCTGTGCTACCTTTTCAGCCCCATCATAAAGAGCCCGAGGGCAGAAGTTCTTAGCAATGTGTTTCCTTCTATCCCACATCTGCCCAGTTCAATCAGGCCTTTGAAATGCATGGACAAGGCCTCAATACTTACACCTGCTCCAGATGGTCAGGAGGCAGGAAAGCAACTTTCTCCCTCAAAACCTAGTTTGTTTTAGTGGGAGGAGAGCCAGATTTGGAGGCTGAAGGCCCCGCATGTTCCAGCTAAAACTATCAGTCTAGTTTTGTGACCTTAGTTATATAACTCAATACACTGAGCACCAGTCCCAGTGAAACACTTGTCAAAGTAGGGCCATGTGCTGGGTTTAATTTTCTGCTGTAGCTGTCTTGAAATTCTTAAATTTTGGAGGAGGAGCCCTGAGTTTTCATTTTGCACTGGGCCCCAGCAAATTATGTAGCTGTATGACCTTGGCCAAGTCACTTAACCTTCCTGGACTCAGTCTATAATTGAATTGTTAGGAAATACATTGTTAGAACAACTCTCAATCCTTCCTCTACTTCACCTATTGGCAAAATTAGACACGGCTGATGAGTCCCTCTTCCTTGAAACATTTTTTCCATTTGGCTTCCAGGACACTATTCTTTTCTGGTTTTCCTTTGCTTCACTGGCTGCTTCTTTGCTCTTTTCTCCTTAATTTGTTGGCACGCCCAAAACTAAACTCCTGATCATCTCTTCTATGCCTGCTCCTTTCAGTCTTTATCATCTTTTAATGGTAACTCCATCCTTCTAGTTGCTCAGACCAAAACCCTTGTCTTTGACTCTATCTCTCACCCCATATCCAATTTGTAAATTGATTCAGAATCTGACCACTTCTTTCCACTATCATCACAGTCCAGCCTTGATCATCTCTCATCTGGATCATTGCAATATCCTTCTGATTTGTCTCCCCACTTCCATTTGCTCCCCTGTCCTACAGAGTGGCCAGAATAATCCTTGAAACATCTAAATCTGATCATATCACTCCTTTGTTCAAAACCATCCCATAACTATCCACCTCACTCAGAGTAGAAATTCCTACAAGGAGCAAAAAGCTACTTCTCTGAACCTATCCCTTTCCAATCCCCCTTCACATTCCATTTGCTGGTGCCCCTATGCCTCGAATGTCCTCCCAGATATCAGCATGGCATGGCCCCTCACCTTTTTCAGTTCCTCTCACCTGTCACCCTCTTAGTCAAGCATTCCCTGACCACACTATGTAAAACAGCAGCCACCATCAACCTTCCCTCACTCTTCATCCTATCATTCCCAGCTCAGTTTTCTCCAAAGCACATATCACCACCTGATACATTATACATTTATTTGCTTATTGTTTATCTCTCTCCATTAACATGTAGTCTCCATAAGGGCAGGAACCTTGCCTTTAAACTACTACATATCCAGCCATAGGACACAAGGAATGAATGACAGGAGAAGCTCTGGGACAGATAATGGTATTACTATTATTAAGTCACAGCCACACCAGCCCCCTCTGAGTGTATAAAGTACTTTCCTAGACTGCATGTCTACGAAGCTGGCCTTGCATACAGGGAGTGTGGGCATTTCTGGGGACTCCGGTGGGCCAAGCCTCCTGCTAGATCATACTGTGGAGACAGAAAGGTGAATCAAGTGGTAACTGCCCTCTAAGGGTTTGTAGCCTACAGAGAGGGTTTAAGTATACATGCAAATAACTCTACAACAAGGCAGCATTTGTTAAAAATATCTAGCCTTTAATGTCTAACATCTAATATTCTGGTAATAACTCTGAAGTTTTCCACAAAGAGAAGGGACTATGAACTATGGCTTGTAAACTTACTGTGTGGCTATTTATGTCCCAAATTCCCATTCTAGCCTGCTTATCACACCGGAGACACCTTGCCTGACTTCCAATCTAGTTTGCTCCATAGTGTGTCCACTGCCCCCCTCCACCCAATATTATCCTCAATTTACTGTTAACTTGAGACCCCACCCTCTTATAGTTCCTCCACACTCTGCTTCTAGATACAGAGAACATGGGGCAGGGGTGTAACCAAGTTTGGGAGGTTATAATAGGGCATAAAGAATCTAAATATTATTTCCTTACAATAAAAAGGTGCAAAGAGTTTTAGTCTATGCCTGCAGTACACAGAGCTCAGGGAATTCACTATCCATTTCTGTACCCTAACAGATTGCTCAGTATGTGGTACAGAGTGGGCATTCAGAAAAGTCTGCTGAACTGTTAAACTGGGTCTTGTAAACTCAGAGTAAGAATAATCCTATTTAAGAAATACCTCTGCATTCTCTGGAGGTGTCCCAGAGGGATTCTATAATGTTATTTTATTGAATTGTCATAATGTAAGACACAACTTAACTAGTAAGAATGAAAACACCTCAAAGGGACCAATATTTAAAATGCTAGTTTAAATTACAAAACACTACTACTTTATAATTTTCAAAGTTTCTTTAACTTGACTTCTTTAAGCCCCATATCTGAAAATTCAAAATTTTCAAAAGATGAATGACAAAGAATGCCTGTTCCCTACAAGATTCCTTTGAATAGAGGCTCCCTGAGGTTATCTGAATTTTTCGATGCAGAAATTTATTTTAGAGAAAGACTGGGGAACTTAGATATGTGAAGATAAAAATTAGGATCTGGTAATTAAAAACCAAGTTAAATTTTAGTGGCAGGTGCTTGGGTGTTTGCTATATCATTCTCAATACTTTTCAGTGTGTTTGAAAACTTGTTCCTCTCATACCTTCACACCACACATACATTTTCATACCCAGGCAAGATCAAGCATGAAAAAAAGATGATCCATTTTATAACCAGTAAGAGGTGCTGCTGGCAATAAGTAAGAAAATATCGGGCAGGTAAATCCTTCCCCTCCTTGGTTCTCAGTTTCTCCATATATAAAATAGGGGGAGGGACTAAATGGTTTCTGGCTCTTCCCGTTCTAATGCCTTAAGACTATGGATGTGGGGGGCACCTATTCATATTACGTAAAAGTCTTTATAAAGGGTTCCCTTCAGATTTTCTGAGTTTCTTTAGTGCATTTAAACTATGCCTCTTCTGGCTCTTCCCGTTCTAATGCCTTAAGACTATGGATGTGGGGGGCACCTATTCATATTATGTAAAAGTCTTTATAAAGGGTTCCCTTCAGATTTTCTGAGTTTCTTTAGTGCATTTAAACTATGCCTCGGTTTACGAAAATCTGGTTACTATATTTTAATTATTAACAAAAGCAGTTAACATTAAGCAAGTTCAATATGATAGGCACCATGTATTCAATATGCCAGGCACACATAAGATGCCTTACATGGATCATCTGATTTAATCACTCCAGTAACCCCATGAGGTGGATACCAATATTGTCCTCATGTTACAGAGAGGTAAATGGGCTCCAAGGCTATCGAACTTGCCTAAGGTCACTGAATTAGTGAATGGCAACACTGGAATTCAAACTCTTCAATCCAGCTCCAGAACACATTGTTAACCCTGAGTCTCCCAAACTGGCTGCCTGTATCAGGAGGTGCACAGTGTTCTTTCCTTAGTTGAACTTGGTCCTCAGTGCCTCCTTGACTTCATAAATGGAGTGACTGATTGGAGATAGGATAGTTCTTTTGATTTCAACTTAACTTTGGGGACATAATGTGGTGATATTTTCATTGAGAAATGCTTTTTTGACCTTTCCCTGGATGTTGACAGTGGATTTCACTAGTTATTTTGAGGCATTAGCAAAAAAGGGTAGAAATTTGAATTCCTAATTTGGTTCTTTTTTTTTTTTACCCAAGATTTTGCATATCTGATTTAGTTCTTTATGCCTACTTATCTAAATCTAACAGCATACACAGCAAGACTACATTATTTTGTAACTCATTAAGGTGGGAAAAAGCCACATACAGGAAAATAATGTAAGATTAATTTCACATGTGTATAGCACACTTCATAATTTTTGCATTCATTATTCTCACTTTCACAAGAACTGTAGGAAGCAGGAATTACTTTTCCATTTTACAAATGAGGAAAGAGTCACAGAAAAGGGAGGTGACTTGTCCTGGGCCACTGAGCTGACTGGAGCCTATACCCAATGTTCTTCCTCCATTTGTAAAAAGGAACATCGGATCCAGACACTTCCTGGCAGATAGAACAAAATGACTGCTGTACTGGTGGCTGTGCCATACCAGGCTGTGGCCAGAGGAGTTCCCTGTATAAATAGCAACGTATGCTAGAGGATGAGGACACAGCACCGGCCGGCCATTTCCCCTGCTCATACCTGTGCAGAGTGATAAAGAAGGGAGAATTAGCCTGCAGCTGTGGTCCAACCAGATAAAACTTTTAGGCGGGAACTCAAGTGACAAGCGAACTTGTGTATGTGTGTGTGTGTTTAAGTGTTAGTTGTTTTTGATATTTTAAAAAAGCTTTTAGGCTGCTTTTGGAAGTCAGACCAAATAGCAGTAAGGTACTGCAGCAAGATGGATTTGGGAAAGGACCATAAGACACCTGATCCTCATCGAGAAGAGAACCATGCTCCAGGTAATGAAAGAGACCGTTAAGAGGTGGTGGGTGTTGGGGAAAATTGGGGCTATGATTTTCTTCCTCTTTATGGATCTGGCAAAAAAAACTCCAACAAGGCATAATTGAGTACATTCATATAACCTTAGGTGGGAAGAATTGGGGCTATATAGATAGCTTCCTGAGGTGTCTTTTAGCACTAAGATTCTAATAAGCCAGAGAAACACAAGATAATAATAAATTATTAAGAAATATACTTAAATGAAAGATTATGAAAATACTCAATACTGGATGGCTGTGGTTAAACAAGTATACCTACACACATCTATGTTAGCATACATTTGGTGGTATAACTATTGCAAGGAGATTTAACAATAGGTAGCAAGAACTATAATAGTACTTATTCTTTTGACTCACTTATCTCAGTCCTTGGATCTGTCCTAAAGCAGCATTTCTCTGAATGTTTTGTGGAACCCTAGGCCTTGAGATACCCTAAAGCAATGTTTTGAAACTTTTTTGTTCCATGGATCTCTGGCATTCTGATGAAACTACAGTATAAAAATTTCTTTCTTTCTTTTTTTTTTTTTTTTTTTGAAAGATGACCGGTAAGGGGATCTTAACCCTTGGCTTGGTGTTATCAGCACCACACTCTCCCAAGTGAGCCACAGGCCGGCCCCAGAATAAAAATTTCTATAGGTTCTTAGAATAAAAATTTTAAAAACATAGAATTAAATATATAGGATTACAAAGGACACAATTATATTAAAATATAGTTATCACAATAGAACACTGATATAGTAATATGTGTGCTTATTTACAGATACATTAAATAGGATATACAGTGGTGGGTCTAATATGGTATCAAATCAAATAAATCATATACAGTAAATGATATTTTAAGATATCTGCAACAACTGTAATGTGACATGAAAAAAAATCTGTGACCACTTTTGGTGACAAAGTCACCTACTGCTAAAACTACCATGTTTTGTTACTACATTCATAACTGAAGGAAATGGTAATTTTAATTAGAGGTTGCTAAAAATAAAGGTATAATTTTTTCTCATCAAGAACTCTTGTCCTAAGAACAAAAGGTGCTGTGGTCCAAGGGGCATTCTTTAGCTTTTGGAGGTCTCAGTGCAGATTTGTATCATGCCCATGGGCTCTAAGAAATTCTATATCAAAGACCCATTAACTTTTCTCAAACCCGAATGGCAGCACCACGTTTTTTGATAATACCCTCAAATTTCCAAAGAACCTGAAGAAACACCAGTCTAAGGGAAAAAATCCAAAAGAAAAATGAAGCTGTATGCAATGAATATGCTTATTATAGTTTGATATACAAAGCAAAAAATAACTGGCAACAACGCCAATGCTCGGTACAGTGGAATGATCAGGTAAATGAGAATACATCAACTAGATTAAGTATCATGACATCATTAAAATTATAACTACAAAGACCATATCATGGAAAATATTTCTGATATAATTTTAGGTTAATAAAAAGATAAAATTATGGCTTGCTATGATTACAATTTTACAGTTTTACAATAAGGACTGGATGGAAATGAGGAATAAAATGAAAACAGGTTATCATGTTAAACATGGCAGAACATGGCTGATTTTTTTTATTATTTGTATAATATATAAAAATTCTTTTGAAGAAAGTAATAGGTTAGTAGCACACCTATGTACAAATAATATCTCAGTAGTATTTTTCATTCAAAAATGTTTACTGAATGTCTGTTCGAAGGCTCTCTCTGGAGGCACAAAGATAAATAAGATATAGTCCTTGTCCTCAAAAATCCAGAAAAAAAACCTAGCATAGGCATTCTACCACTTTGCCATCAGACTCTTTTGCTGATAAAAGCCACAGTTCATCACTTTCTCTAGTAACTTTCATTTTGATCCTATAGAAACCATTGGAACTTGGAGTTTGCGAAACAGAGAACAACTCAGGAAAAGAAAAGCTGAAGCACAAGAAAAGCAAACTTCACAATGGCTATTTGGGTATGATGTCATTACAAGGGAGTGGGAATTATTACTTATTGAGTACATGTTATGTGTCAAGTAGTGCTGCACACTTTTACACACTATGTTTTATCTTTCTAACAATCCTGTAAGTCAGGAGCTATTATCCCTGTTTTTTAAAAAAAACAACTAAGTCTCAAGTGGGTTAAATCTCTTGCCCAAAGTCACACAGCTAGTAAAGTGGTGGGAACAGAATGTTCTCCCTGGCCTTTCTTAATTAAAGCACTGGACAACCGAATTATGTTGTCCAGAAGGCTGGTGTTTAGCTACTCTGGAGATTCAAACATACAAGCATCTTACTGCTGGGAGCGGGAAACATCACTGAGGAAGCCTCCAAGATTGTTCTCCAAGCATTCTGTCAGTAAAATTCTTACTGAATGAGTGTGATTAACTCCCCATGGAGTAAACCAAAACATTGTCTGCAAATGAGTGATGAAGCGATTGGGAGTTCCTAAATCGCCAGTCACCTGTGTGTCAACTCAGGGAGGTAGTACAAGAACATGATTATAAATTAGGCAGTATCTAATTGCATCCATTTAGAATATGACTGTGACACCAGGGGACTGGCTTGCTAGTAGCATTTTCTGGTCTGCACCTTCTCACCTTCCGCCCCAGTTGTGACAACCAAAATGTCTCCAGACATTGTCAAGTGTCTTCTGGGCTGGGGTCAGGGAGATGTGGGAAAAATCACCCCAGTTGAGAACCACTGCTTTAAGCAAAGCACTCTTCTTAAGGGTGTTTCCCACTCCCCTCATCCCCACCTGCCCCCCATCCCTGTGCACTACGTACTGTCTGTTCTGCTACAACAGATGTTTCTATAACACCAATTAGCTCACATATTATTGGTAAATAAGAGAATGATGTCATTATAATGTGGGAGTTGTGTTGGTTCATGATTTTCCCTAGTCAAATGGAGCCAGAATAGTGGGAATAGGATTAAAATCTTCAACAGTAAAGAAAAAGCCCTCAGCTTTGCTGCAGCATAGGCAGGATCCTTTTCAGCCTGCACCCAGTGTTCCCTTCCCAGAGAAGCACAACACCAGCCTTGCGTAGTTTTCCACCATGTGGGAGCTTGCACTTCCTCATGTGCCCAACTTAATGACAGACCTGCTGGCACAGAGCTCAGGTCTCAGCATCTGCAAACCTGCAACTACACTCTTGCTTTTTCACATTTTTACTATCCCCTAAGGCAGCCTCTGGCCATAGTAAGCTGCCTGTCTGGACCATCCAAGTTATCTCCCCTGATACCAATTATTATTTTTGTCAGTGTTAAAAGGTTGCATAGGTTTTGAGTCATTTGTCCCAAGGCTATTTCCCCCTGAATAACCACAGGTACATTTTAGAGCATGATTTTGCAGAAAGCGAGGTTTTTCAGGAATGCATATATCATTTTATAGCAGAAACTTCCATACCTGGTTATGGTAGCAGGTGACCCTGTTGAAGATTATCCAATGAGCTCCCTAAATTCCATACCCACTAAGCAACCTTTCTATCGTTACTTGGCTTCCCAAATACTTGTCTACAGAGAAAGAGTGCATTCATTTCTCAGTCCAAGCATTCTCTACTGTGTGACTTGTATTTCTGTTTATTTAAAAATTGATCTTTAGGTTTATATATCAGTCTCTTTGCCCTGGTTGATGGGCTCTGCACCTGATAAATGGAGCTAGTCTTAGTGTGGGTTTTGAAGCTTGCTGGGCTGAAAAGCTGAGGAATTCACTGAAGTAGATGACACCGTGGTGAGCCTTTTGGCAGCTGGCTGGACTTTCTCTGGTGACACATATTTATACTGCTGAGGCTGCACCCTCTTTTCTCACTACAACATACCACACACAGTGAAACTTTAGTAGTTTCAGAGAGAAGCAGCGGCGTGTAATGGTTAAGAACTGGGTTGTTCAAGTCAGAATGACTATGTAGGTTTGAAGCCTGGCTCCCCCACTTCCTAGCCATTGACCTTGAGCAAGTTACTCAACTTTTCTGTGCCTCAGTTTTGTCATCTGCAAAATGAAGATAATAGTATCTACTTCATAGGTTGATGTGACAATTATTTGAGATAATAAGTAAATGACTTAATATAGTGCCTGACACATAGGAGGCTCTATAAGTGTTTCCCATGTTAATATTAGAGTACTAATTTATATTTGAATAATTCATTCATATAAATTTTCATATGTAATTCTTACAACCACTACATGAAGTTGGGCAGGTATTATTTACCCCATTTTACCTATAAGGAAACCAAGGCACAGAGAGGTTAAGTAACTTGCCCACGATCATGAGAGAGAATACAGACTAAAGTTTAGGCTACATATTTTTGTATCTTTTGAAAAACTCCCAGGGAAGACATGAACCATTATTATTATTATTTTATTTTTTTTGGCAGCTGGCCTGTAGGGGGATCTGAACCCTTGACCTTGGTGTTATAACATCGCGCTCTAACCAACTAAGCTAATCAGCCAACCCATGAACCATTATACTACTCAGATATTCTTGTATAGAAATCTATACAATAATTTATAATTATTATATAATAACAATAAATAAATAATAAATTATTTAGTATTAAATACTGTAGGAAAAAAAGTGTTTCCTGAAGAATTCATATACACCATTTTTTAAAAAATTTGACAGTAAGAACTTTATAATTTATTTTGTTACCTTGGTTTCTTGGAGTAAGAATTCAAAATGCTGAGGTGCCATAACCATCATCTTTAGATTTTCGCTTTTTCTATATGAGTTTTAGAATTTATTTTTACTGTCCTATTACGTATATGCCTTTTTTTTTTTTTAAAAGATGACCGGTAAGGGGATCTCAACCCTTGGCTTGGTGTTGTCAGCACCCCTGTAGGGGGATCTGAACCCTTGACCTTTCAGCACCACGCTCAGCCAGTGAGCAAACCGGCCATCCCTATATAGGATCCGAACCCGGGGCCTTGGTGTTATCAGCACCGCACTCTCCCGAGTGAGCCACGGGCCGGCCCCCGTATATGCCTTTTTGATATTGACTTCAAACTGTTTTCGCCGAAGTAATTTTTTAAAAACTGTTTTATTGTGGAAATTTTCAAACACAAAAATAGAACAGGGTATACATTTTTATATGTGCAAAGAATTATGAGCATTATAAAGATATAAAAAACACTGGTTCCATCTCCAAAGAATGTCTGGTTTACTAAAAGAAATAACTACAGTATGAGACAGCCTACATTCCTTGCCTTAAGCACAATACTCAGAATAAATCCTATAGGAGTGCTAAGCAGGGAGAGCATTTCAGTCCTGCAGTCTGTTAGAGAACGCTCCACGGAGAAGGTAGCATGGAACAGAATTTCAGTAGGTTTAGAAAAATGATAAAAAGTTTATTTGTAGGGCCGGCCCTGTGGCTCACTCGGGAGAGTGCGGTGCTGATAACACCAAGGCCTCGGGTTCGGATCCCACATAGGGATGGCCGGTTTGCTCACTGGCTGAGCGTGGTGCTGACAACACCAAGTCAAGGGTTAAGATCCCCTTACCGGTCATCTTTTAAAAAAAAACGGGTTCGGATCCCACATAGGGATGGCCGGTTTGCTCACTGGCTGAGCGTGGTGCTGACAACACCAAGTCAAGGGTTAAGATCCCCTTACCTGTCATCTTTTAAAAAAAATAAATAAATAAATAAAAAGTTTATTTGTAGTACCTCCCCCCTGCCCAGCCCATCTGTATTAGCCATCTGTATTTGGTTATATTTGCAGTGCCTAACAGTTTGTCCTTGGCTACAATTTCCATGCATATCCTTTCATCTTCTAGATCTTTATTAATTAGGAGTAGGTATAATATGGCCACTCATGTCTTTCCACCAGGCTTCTTAACCTCAAGAAATGTTTTTGCAGTTTTTGACACAGCTTACAGTACACCTCATTTGAGGTATACTGTAGCTACTCAGCATTCTTTACACGGGACACTGTATTAGATAAGCAAGCATGTGAAGCACCTCATCTGCTTGCACCCTGCACAAATGAGGAGCTGTGCCTGAACTGAAGATCTAGAAATTCAGTTGTATCAATTTACCCAGGGGATAGTGGGGCTAACTCACACAGACTAAACTCAAAGAGACTAGTGTATAAACCAGAATGCCAATCTATTAATGTATAATAGGCATTACACATTTTCCATAACCAAACTTCAAGTATATGCTATCAAAGACACACACACATTTCACTCACCAAGAAAGTTACTGGTGATCAAGGCATCAAAGCCAAAAAGTCCTGGAGGAACATTTCCTGTTCTAACAGTTGAGAACATCTAGCACCGCTCCGTCATTTTACAAACAAGTTCCATGTATTTTGATTGAAGCCCAGAGAGACTAAGTGACTTGTTCAAGGTTGTGCAGTAAGGCAGTGGGGGGACTTGGGACTGTTATTACAAGCATTTGTTTGAATTCTGTAGCCCTGTTGCTGACACTAATTCTGATCTCTCAGCAGAGTACAGAAAAAACACAAATGGCAGAGAACAGGAAAAGGAAATCAAAGAGGCAGAAAGAGACAAAGAAATACAGAACTGAAGGTGGAACCTCAATCACAAATAGAAAAGGAAATGATGGAGGAAGCACTGGCACCTATGGAGAAAAAAACTGAGCTACCTGGGAGTGTAACTGAAGGCCTTCCTTTGGTAGCCTCCCTGCAAAAAGTTATGCTTGAGGAACATTTTTCTGAAATATGTCAAAAAAACATTATACATCAGGAAAGTTTTTCTGAGTTCCAAGAACAAGTGGTAGAAAACCATCCTTCTAAAACATGCCAAGATATGGCTCAACCTGAAGACCTCTCTCCTAAAATCTGCCAAGAAATAGCTGTACTTCAAGACCAGCCTTTTAAAATGTGCCAAGATATAGCTGAACCTGAAGACCTTGCTTCTAACATGTGTCAAGAAACAGGTGTACCCAAACCCCTTCCTTCTACAACATCTGAAGACATAGCTGACTTGGAAGGATGCTCTCCTGAAGCATATCCCAAACCAGATGTGCCTAAAGGCTATGCTCTTGATACATATCAAAAAACAGTTGAACCCGAGGAATACAATTCTGAACCAGATCAAGGAATAGCTGAGACCGAAACCTTCTTTCCTAAAACACAAGAAATAGCTGTGCCTGAAGACCTTTCTACAAAAACATACCAAGGAACAGTTGAATCTGAGCACTTTTCTCATAAAGCATATGAAGAAATTACTGTGCCTAAAGCCACCTCTCTTAAAACAATCCAAGAAACACCTGCTCCTAAAGAATATGCACCTGAAACATACCAAGAAACACCTGGGCCTGAAGAATATTCAACTGAAACATATCAAGAGACACCTGGGCCTGAAAATCATTCATCTGAAAGATACCAAGAAACACCTGGGCCTGAAGAATATTCAACTGAAATATACCAAGAAATACCTGGGCCTGAAGACCTCTCTACTACGACTTATAAAAATAAGGATGTGCCTAAAGAATGCTTTCCAAAACCATACCAAGAAACAGGTGGGCCCCAAGGCCAGGATCCTCAAGCACACCAGGACAATACAAAGGATGTTTGTACTTTTCCTAAAGGTACGGGCTGTGTGTTAGGCACACCCAGTTATCCCCATAGCACCAACATAGGTATATCTCCCTCAGAGTAGTGATTTTCAGGTGTTTTTTTTTTTTACAACCCTAGGTTATCCCCAATTATCTCAAATGGTACTATAAATTTCATTGGCTAGTTCAAGTAAAAAATATTTTTCATGCAACCAAAATCTGTCTTGGCACATTTCCAAAGAATTAAAACAAAATAACTGAAAATGCATGCATTTACAGTTGGTATGTACTACCTATTTTGAGAAGCTATAGCTAGCAAAATGAACCCAACATAGGATGAATAATATGCAAAATATTTAAAATGGCGACTAAGTCTAGGTTAATGAGAAAGCCTGATGAGTGAAGTTTTTCTGGAAAATTTAATTTTCCTGATAAAGACAAATAAATTCATAGTACAAAGTACCAAGGGAAATACAGAGGTGTAAAATATGATTGTTACCAGAGACCTCATTCTTGCAGGACTTATCAGGTTTACCAAAAACCCTTTCTATTTCAATATTTGTTCCTGAAAGCTTTGTTCTAAGCATAGCATTTTGAAAATAATGTGACCTTTCTTTAATCTGACTTGCTTCAGGGACATAACTGAGAACCTCGATTGTCTTTGTGTACAATACTGTGTAGACAGTATAAGAAATGGGCTGAGTCTATCACACCATAGTTATCCCTAGGGAACTGTTTTCTAAAGAAATCCCTTTGGAAGCTTATGTGTTCTTTCTTGTAAAAGATGAGTGCAACAAAAACATGGTGTTAGCTAGGTTCCAAGTAATACAGGTTCGAAAAAATACCTTAAAGAAATAAATTACAGTAAAAAGCAGACAAATGTAGCACTGATGGGAATACCCTGCTGGAGAAGCAGCTGTAATCAACACAGTGCCCCAATTCTAACAGTTTTTTTTTCTTTTTTTTGTCTTTTTTCGTGTCCGGCAACGGACCACAACCCTCAGTGTCGCGCCCGCACCGGACCGGGACCGGCAACGGGATTGCAACCCTCGGTGCTGCACCCGCCCCTTGCTCAGCCAGTGAGCGGGAACCGGTCTGCATGTGGGATCCGAACCCTCGGCGGGAGCGCTACCGCACCCCCAAGCGGCACACTGTAGCAGTGCGCCACCGGGCCGGCCCCTAACAGTTTTATTTTAAACCCAGCTAGGTCAATATGGGCAAGTAATTAATGCTCACCTTGTTTTTGGTTTTGTCTTACCATACAAATGGGAATATCTATTTTTTGCTGATTATAAAAGTAACAAAAGTTCATTATAATAATGTAAAGCAATATGTAAGTGAATATACAGTAAAAGTCACCTATAATATCATCTCCTATCTCTAATCCCCAGTGTTGTTTTGTTTTACCAAACTAGATAGTATAGTACATTCTATTCTGTAATTTGTTTTTTAAAATTTATTTACCATATATGTTGTAGCCATCTTTATGACATCTTGTCTCGCTAGGGCTAATGTTGGAATCCTGCCAATGACGCCAATTGTAAAGCTACATGACCACGCCAGTTGTTGGGTTCTTTTACTTGCCCATAATCTTGCACTGACTGGGCCAATTGACGAGCTAGGGTTGGGTCTGGAGCTCACAGACCCCTCAAAAGCCCATTCACAGACTGGGTCACAAACCCTTCACATGCCAGGCTGGGTCACATGAGCTAGGTAACTGGCAAACAGGTCCTTGGAAGCAGTAGGTTGGAAAGCATGGCTGCTCGGGCAGACGCCCAAGGCAGGAGACGCCAGCCAGGGTGGTAGCACCACGCAGGTGCACTAACTCCACCCTATTTACAGCAAATGCTCAGCAAAATCCCAAACATCTGAGGGGCCCTGACCATTTTCCTATACTTTCCCAACACATCTTCTGTAACAATTGCATACTATTGTGCTATTTGTATGTGCAATAATGTATTCAACCAATCCTTATAATGATGAACACTTAGGTTACTGCCAGGTTTTACTATTACACAATGTTCAATGAATGTCATTGGGAATAAAGTTTATTTACTTGGTATTTATTTGGCACTTTCTATGTGCCGGACACTGTATTAAATATTTTATGTGAATTATTTTATTCAATGTTAAAAACCCTATTAGATAAACAATATCCCTATTTTATTTATAAGGAAACTGAGGCACTGAAAGCTTAAGTTTTCTGACTATTTCCTTCGATTTCCTATCGAATTGCTGGGCCAAAGGGTACCCACATTTAAAGTTCAGATATATTCAGTCAGCCTAGCCTCCACGAATGTTGTAACAATTAACACAAACCAAAAGTTTACATAAGTGCCTTTTCCCCACATCCTTACCAGCACTGCACGTGATGACATTTTAAAAATCTTTGCCTATCTGCTAGGTTAAAAACGGAAAAAACTACCTAATTGTTTTAATTTGCACTTTTTTGATGATTTATGATACTAGGCATCTTTTCATGATTATTATAAACTTGAATTTTTTTGAGAATTGCTTGGTTTAAATCCTTGTCCCATTTCAAATTTGTGATATGTGCCTTTTCTTGATTGATTAAAAAATCTCTTTTAAATGATAGTTATTAAACCTTTTCCTAAACATATGTTGTAAATATTTTTTCCAGTTGTTGTTTGTGGTTTCATTCTATTCATAGTGGTTTGTGCCATATAGAATTTTAATTTTTAGTATTTAAACTTCAATCTTTTCCTTAATGGCTTTTGGTCTCTGTGTCCTGCTTAGAATCCTAAGATTATAAAAACAGTATTATTTCTGGTATTTTATTTTATTTTATTTTATTTTATTTTTGGCAGCTGACCAGTTCAGGCGTTGAACCCTGGATCTTGGTATTATCCAGCACCATGCTCTAACCAACTGAGCTAAACAGCCAGCCCAATTTATGATATTTAAATATTTAATCTCTCTGAAATTAATTTTTGTGCCTGGTGTGAGGTTTTTTTCCCCCTCCAAATAGATAGTCAATTATCCCAATACCATCTTTTTCAATCTATTTCTGTATTTTATTTGATTTTACAGAAAAGAAAGAAAAACCCAAAGCAGAAGAACCAGAAATACCAGCAATTCCAAACATTCCTCAAGAAGTTCTTCCAGAAAATGACATCTACAGTTATGTTTTGTTTTAACAATGCTCAACCATAAAGTTGCAGTCCAATGGAATATACATCTTAATAGTTTGTGTGATTTTCTCAAAACATTGTAGAAATCTCTACAATGTTCACTAATATTTTAACGTAGTCTTTTTTCCATTTATAGACCATATCTGAAAGACAGAACTAACATTTTTTTAGGTTCTACCATATAGACAATATCCTGCTAGTGTGTGTGTGTGTGTGTGTGTGTGTGTGTGTGTGTGTGTGTGTATGGGGAGGAGGTTAATGGTGGGAAGAGACAAGGGAAGGGCAAGGACTAAATAATTGATTTTTCCCTCTAAGAACAAACATTTGTTTGCTTAATTCTTAAGAGCAGATAAGTGATTAAGTCTGAATATTTAAAATTTTGGAGAGTATATAGTTTTCTTGTAAACTTATTCAATTATTAATGTAATAGTAGCATCAAAAATTTATTCAGGCTTTTGTTGGATCTTTTAGTTAATGTTAACAAATCTTATTCTGGACTCCTTAAAAGATATTTTGAAGTGATGGGTGTAGTTTACTTTTGTATTTGAATTTTGATTTTCTGTTTTTACTTTTTAAATATTGTATTTGTGCAAAGTGTACATTAAATCATTATTGCATGCTGAACTGAATGGATAGCATCATGTTAAACACTGTGGGGGTTAGAAGACATATATAGTACATTATCCTTGCCCACCGGGGCTTAATCTAGTCTCATGGGGGAATAAGACAGAATGTAATCACAAAAGAAAAGAGTAAATGCTAGTGCCATTTGAATAGTAGATACAATAGAGGGAATGTTCATTTTTTGCTGGAGTGACCTGAAAAAATTACACGTAAGTGAAGCCTTAAAAGATGGAGAGGACTTGTATAGGTAAGGATAGCAGCATTACTGCATGTGACACACAGAAGTGTGAGTTCAGGGGCCGGCCTGGTGGCGCACTGGATAAGTGCGCCGCTTGGGAAGCGCGGTGGCGCTCCCGCCCGAGGGTTCGGATCCCACATACAGACCGGTTCCCGCTCACTGGCTGAGCGAGGCGCGGGAGCAACACTGAGGGTTGCAATCCCGTTGCCGGTCCCCGGTCCAGTACGGGGGCAACAATGAGGGTTGCGATCCGTTGCCGGACACGGAAAAAGACAAAAGACAAAAAAAAAAAAAAAAAAGAAGGGTGAGTTCAAGACACATTCAAGAGAACTGCATGA